AGCGGCACGGTGAGAGCCCAGTGTTGACAGGCTCAGCGGCCATGCTGGTACAGCACAGCACAGGTGCCACTTGAACTAAAAGTCCCACAGGAGAACCGCTGGAGAGTTGTGAGCTTCCCCTGTAAGCAGCTGGCCCGAGATCTTTCCTTTAAACACCGAATTTCCGATGCAAATAACTATTGCCACCTACTGGAAACGGACCTGCGCAGCCTTAGGCAGGCGATGTTTCCGCTGCTCCCGAGTACTGCACAGGATCAGGCTGAGAGATGTCCATGCCTGCACAAAACCCCCTTCCATGGCAGGGAGGGGAGCACGTCACAACCTAAAGGCAGCCCCTCCTTCCAAAGTAACTGATTAGACACAAACTGTCAAACGCAACTTACAGATAAGCAAAAAAAATAATCATCCGAGGTATGTGTGTCATCATTCACCCCCCCCCCCCAACGCCCCCGACAGCCCAGCAGACAGCAGTGCAACAAAACAAGACCCTACCATACATACCCTGCTGCTGCTGCTCCTCACTACGAGAGGGCCCTAGGAAGTCCCTGGAGAGGAGGCCTCCCCACCTCATGACAAACTTCTGGTGTGGTGCAGCCCAAGTTCCAGCAGGAGCCATAAAACGCCTTGTTCTGTGGCGGCCAAATCATGTTACTCTGTTCCTTTACCTGGTCTGGCATTGTGTACCTTGAGCTCCACCAAACCCAGGACAAAGCCGTTACCAGTGACCCTGCTGTGCCCTTGGCACAATGGTTTCAGTCCTTCCTGTACTGAGGGAGTAAGAGCCAAGAACCTCCTGCTCTTACCACTCAGGTATGCTTAACACTGTCCTGTCCTTTAAGTGACTGACTGTTCTATTTGGTCTGAAACGAAATAGGGGCTAATGGACATCCTACCTCTCCTTTCCACCTGCTCAGCACGGAGCACACCATCACACCATAGCCCTGCGGGGCATGCAGAGAGAACAGAATAAAGGGGTCCAGAGTGCTGCCTTGGTGCTACACACCTTCTGCTAGGAGACAGGGCTCACTGTAAGTTGCCTGAAGAACCAAAGTGATGCAGCTTGTGTCCTGAAAAGACAGGGAGAAGATAGAGTAGAGCTGGCTCTGCCTTTGGAATTATTTACTGTCGCATTATTTAAGCTCATGCTGAAAGCAGGCACCAGGCCTCCCTGGCTAGGTGACTGCAGGAACACCCAGCAGATAACATCCTTCTCTCTTGCCCTCTCTTCTCATGCCATTCCTGCAGCAGCTTCAGTATGAGACATGCAGCACATTTCCATTTGCTTTCAGGCTTTGCATGGTGCTTGACAACTACAGCACATTCTTAAGCTCTGCTCAGTATACAGGTTAGTGGGCTAACCTACAGGGACATCTTACGTTCCTACTGCAAGCTGAGCCAGACGCCCAGGTCGGAGCTTTGCATGCTGTACAGGAGCCAGGTACCCGTATAGTGCCTGGGCAACCCCCACTGAACATACCCTAAACTTTCTGAACACGTACTTGGCATCTACCTGTCCCAGGAAGCTTTGCCTCTGAGGAAGAAAGAAACATTACCAAGGAAAACGAAGACTCCAAAAATGCTCCAAGAGGTCTGAACAACTTTTGGATAGCTATGTAAAGCCAGGATAGCAAATGAAAGTGTACCAACTGACCAACATGCTCCATA